CTGTTCTCAGCAGAGCTCCTGAGAGAGGAGCTGTAAAAATATATTGAGATGGTTTTTGGTACTTATACCGCAAATATATATTCTTAAGGACATCAAAACCTAAAATAAAACTCCAGAAAGGTTTAAAATATGTGACCTTTAATGTTTGTGCTTTATTCTGTCTGCAGTCCATTCGTGAGGTGACAGGATATGTGCTTGTGGCGCTGAATCAGTTTGAGTATCTGCCCCTGGAGAATCTGCGCATCATCCGCGGCACCAGACTGTATGAAGACCGCTACGCCCTGGCCATCTTCCTCAACTACCGCAGAGACGGCAACTTCGGTCTCCGTCAGCTTGGCCTTAAGAATCTCACAGGTACAAAATGAGCCTACGAGTCCACAGGTCACATAATCTGTGTGTTCTTTTTTTTTTCTCTGTCCTTGTCTTGCTCATCTTTGTGAATGTACTTTATTTTGCAAAAAAATTCATCGTTTTGATCATCATGTCTTTGTTAAAGATGATTTGTCATTTGCTTTGAAATCCATTTTAATGCATTGATCCCTTCTGAAATCACTCAACACGACATCAATACCTGCTGAGAACGCGTGTCTGTCATATACAAGCACACAGAGTAAATTGTGAAGTTGGTGAGTGCTCTCCGATGTCTCTCGCAGGAAATATACGGGGAGTATTCATGAATATGGATATCATACTAAATTGATTCCTCACAACTTCCATCTGAAATGCCTTAGCTGGTGTTTGAGCTGCTGGATGGATGAGGGCCGACGCTGGCAGTGAAATACAGCTAAATATCTGCACCTGGAATTGGATCCATAAAACTCAGTGAGAGGTTTGGTGGGGAACGCTGGGGCTTGACCAGCTTGATGATGGCACTGCTCTCATATGAACCAAGTCTTTATTATAGCTTCGATCTGTCAGTTTTGCAGGAGCTAATAGGCTAGTAAACTAGCAAAGGCTGAACGAGCTAAACGTTGATTGGATACTGTTTACTTAGTACAGTAAAGTCTGCTGTAGCACAGTAAAGTTTGACTTTCTTTAGGCCATATTTGTAAAATATTTGAAGAATATTTCAGTGGCAATTGCTTTAAGACAACTCTGGAAATGTGTCTTTCCCAAAAATGTGAGCAGAATTTTGGCAGTTATGGCAGTTTTCTATGTATAAATACTCTCTAAATACTGCAAATAATGTATACAATACTGATTGGTGTCTTTAAAATATGTTAATGTATTTTTAGAATAATTGCAAAGAAACAGAAAAAAACTGTAATGCTGAGATACTTTTTATTCAAAAGTCTTTAACAGTATTTATTTGTTTGTTTGTTTGTCACTTTTGATGAATTTCTTTAGAAAAAATTCTCACTGACTCTAAACATTTGAACACTGATTTTTAATTTTTAATTAATGTCAAAATCCCAAAAGCTGCATGAAACCAGTAATATTGTGAAATATTTTTACAGTTAAAATTTTTATATTTTTGTGTAATTTTACTCTAGTCTTCAGAGATAATTTTAATATGCTGGTTTTTTACTTCAAAAATATTTCTTATTATAAATGTTGAAAAAAATTGTGCCGCAATCAAAAAGAACAGAATTATATATAATCCTTAAAGGAAGAAAGCATGATGTATTTTCCTTTTAGATGAGAAATAACGACATGAGGGTAAACGTAATTTCCATTCATTCACTAATTAGTGCGGTTTGTCTGTGAAGGACCTCTTTTCAACAGCCCTGCTCTTTGTTCCATACCTATTGCGTGCTGCCTCTTCATTATTGTTTGGTTAGAGTGCATTAAAATGTTGTTCATTTCACTGCAAGGTCATACGTGCATTATATACTCATTCAGAGATTTTTCAATTGGTTTTTGAATTAGTAGCTACATTTAAATGCATGCCTCACCATAGGGTTAAAAAAATATGAGGCCCAACTTAAGACAGACAGCAAATGCAAACCTCTGTGGAGTCTGACGTTCTAGTAAACAAACATGATGTACAAATGACAATGTTTAACGTCTAATTTGTCAGATGCATGTTGCATAATTCAGAATAAGGATGGTGAGTTGGGGGTTTTGATGTTTTTGTAAGTGTCTCTGTACTTTCTGCTTCACTGCCAGGGCTGGTTGGAAATGTTTCTTCCTCACAATACCTGATTATTGCTGTTACACAACAGCTTCGCTTCCTTCTGATTGGCTAAAAAAAACTAGTATAAGTGCATTGGCATGACATTTACTATGCACAGCTTTTGTCTTCTTTGACTAATGAGAAGTGGTATGTTTCTCCTTAGCTGTTCCTCCAGACACTTGCATTGCGACACAGACTTTAATAGTTGCTGGGAGTGGTGAGCATTGTCTGTCCGTTTATTATGGCAAAACTTTGGAAATGTAACAGAACTGTGTAAGATCAAAACAGTGGCAATTACCCGTCAGCCTTCAGTGCGAGTAACCAGGATGCTGTTGGGCTCAGAATTGTGGGCAGTGTCAATTTTTTAGCCCAATATAAAAAACTATCAAGGCCATTGTCATTTATTCATTTTTATATCTAAAATGGTTTGCAAAGTATAAAAAATGACCGTGAATTTAACGGTAAAAGACTGTAAAAATGCTACAGTAAAAACCTGTTAAATGGTTAACGGTAAATGCCCCTACTATATACGGTGAAAAACCGTATTGGACATTACATGTATTGGATATTAATTTTACAGTAGTATACCGTTTTTGGAAGTGAAAAAGACCGTATAATTTACAGTGAATAACCGTAAATTGACATTCACAGAATCCCCTGCGTTACATTTCAAATTTGATGTTTTTTTTGTTGAAATAACTATGTTTCTTCTTAGTTTTTTCTTATCAATTTTGTATATTAGGGTTGTGTGTTACACCTAATGTTGTTAAATTAATGTTTATTGCATTATTTCAGTTTCATGTGTGTTACCATGATGGTGTTTAGTGTCTGTGTGAATGACACTGTGCACCTTCAATATATGTCATTATTTTAAAGCTGCTTGTGATGGGCTTTGGTTCATCATGTGACTTTCTCATCACCACCTGCATTTGGTGGTTATTAGTGTATTACAAAGGTGCAAAACAGATTTCAGTACTTCAATAGGTTGGTATATTAACATTATATCAGTTAATGAAATTACAGTATTTAACTGTAACCACAGCTGCCGGTTTTAAATTTTACGGAATTTTTTTTACAGTGTAGCATTATAGTATACATTTTATCAGTTTGTGTTATCACATGGAATCAAACCCATGACCTTGTTGAATAACTTACACATTAAAGAAAGTATTGTGATTATAAATATCACATTTAGCTTTTGTTATCAATTCTACACAAATGTTTGCTAACACAGTTCATTTTTTTTCCACTGAATTATACTTTTCATGATGATATGATACTTACGATACACATTCATTTTCAAGTAAACTTAATTTAATTTTAAAAAGTTTAATAAATAATTAGAATATGTTTAGATATGGTGCTTAAAGGTGTTTTTTTTTTTTTTGAATGTAAAAAAAAAAAAACCTTTGTTTATATACACTACCATTCAGATTTTCACTCAGTTTTCACTCAGATACTTTCAGAAATAATTACAGAAATTTCACAAATACAAAGAATTGCCAAGTAAGACATTGAAATGTGATATTTTGAAATAGAAATATCTTATTTTATAAAAAATCGAAGGGGGGAGATCAAAATTCCTGAATCTGAAATATTCCTGAATTTTCAGCAGTCAAAAACCGTTATGGTGCTTAATATTTTTATAGAAATTTATACACTTTTTTTCAGCATTCTTTGATGAAAGGAAAGTACAAAAGCACATCACTGATTTCAAAATAGATGTTTAACAATGTCAAAGTCTTTACTGTCACTTTTAATCAGTTTAAAGCATCTTTGCTGAATAAAAGTATTAATTTCTTAAAAATACAGGCCCCTGAACTTTTGGACTGTATTTTTCTGTAGATTACAATAGAGGATGGCCATTATAAAAATATTTTGAATGCCATGAAAAATGCTTTGCATAACATTGTCTTCCAAATGCTTGTAAGTTTATAATGTATCCCAGCTTAATATGCAGAGTTGACTACAAGTCACATTTAGTTTGATTCCTTGAAAAGTGATGGCTAAATTGTATATTTTTAGAGGCAGTACTATCTTTTTGTAATCTGTGGCAGATGAATGAATAAAGAGCGACATTGTAAACATCATGGATTCTATACCTCAAAATGTTGTTTGTTTTTGCTTTAGTTTAAATAAGTCTGTATCACTGAAAAAGGGCTTATTGTGATGTGAAATCTGGCTAGATAGTTAACCCAGCGTGCATAAATGCTTCAGGAACACCATCTCACTCTTATGGACCAATGTTTCTGGTCCACGAAACATCTTCATTCACTTGCTGTGACTAGGCAAAGGAAATAGAGCAGAGAGAGAGACGTGGCATAGCAGACCGGGTAAATAATTGAATCTGCTTGTATTGTTCCACTTACCCAGTCCCTCTTCTAGAGTCCACTGGATGCAGCGTACATAACCCAAATGCAACATTGTAATGCTGACATCACTTACAGCCTAACTGTGCTGCATTTCGTGCTGTATTCTTGGAAGATGACAGTGTTTAGAAACGTCCAGGAGACCAGGTTCTCCCAGAGGAGCGTGATCTCCTGTCTTAGGCAGACTAACAGGGAACAGCAGTGGAGTCAAGCAACGTTTGAAATCCCAGCCATGCCCACAGGGAAGGAGAAAACACAGAAGCTCTGCTCGCTAGTTTACTCTGTCTCTCTCATCCGTCTCTTTCTTTGCCTACATTCATTCTTTTCTTGTTCGTCCAATTTTCTTTGTGAAATCTGCTGTTGCTGCCCTTTTACCTTTAACTGTATATTTATCTTGCTTTCATTGAGGAGTATAGCGAGGGACTTGAAGAAAGTGCATGTGTCTTCCACAGTGTTGAGGAAGCTTTTGAGTTCCATATAGAGGGTTAATTCACCCAAAAATCATAAACCTTAAAGTGATTCACCCCTAAAGTGAACCGACTTGCTAAAATGAATCAGATCATTTAAAGGTGACATATCATGAAAATCTGACTTTTCCAGGTTTTAAGTGCTATAATCAGGTCCACGGTGCATCTACCAACCAAGGAAACGTGAAAAAGATTAAACCAGTAACTTTTTTTTGGTAAGCCTTTTTCTTCATGTGTCTGAAAAAACGAGCACGTCTGATTTCGCTCCCTTGGTGACGTGGCAAAGGGATCTCATTATAATATTACCGCCCCTTAATCTGTACGTTTCCACCCACTGCACTGTTATTTTTATTTTGCAAGCGACAACTGTGTACCAGCTATAATGCCATGGTGAAAGTTTGA